GACTATAGCTATTAATTAGCTAGCTCTCCACCCCCACAGACTGCAGTCGACTTTGGTCTAGACAGTGGGGAGAGTTCTCAGTCCCTCCACTCCTAAGTTTTAGGAATCCTGGCTTCTGTGTGCTTCTGTTGTCTCCTTCAGGGCTGACTGTTGGGGAGGGAGTCAATCTCCTGGCCAGTCAGTCATCTTGGCAAGAATTCTCTGCGTCTTCAACTACAAGATGGGGATGACATGACTGGAAGGAGTTGTGGATTTGAATATTTTACATCAACGTCTAGAATCAAGTAAATAATTGAAAGGTACTGGATTCTTTCTATTTTCAAAAGACCTCAATCCCCAAATTTCAATCGACTAATCCAATCAGGCATTTTAAGGCCTTGAACAATGTTCTTTTCATTTGCCTCCAAATACTGTATAAAGTGAGTGCTGAGCTTACAATGAAGTTTTTATTATTGACAAAAACATGTTGGCTGGGCTGGGGATATAGCTCAGTTGGCAGAATACTTGTCTCATATGCATAAGGCCCTGGAGTTCAATCCCCAGCATCACACACACACACACACACACACACACACACACACACACACACACTCACACACCAACCCATGTTGACACATCCAGAAATTAACCTCATCCTCAGGGAACCATGATAGAATCATCTGACTTCTAGTTCTAGATTTTTTTTTTCTTCCTGGCTACTCAAAGTGCTGTACATCACAGACAGCCTGCTAGACCTGTAGAATCTCCTCTATACTCTACACTTGACGCCATCAGTCTTAACATCATCACTAACGTCTTTTCTCTCCACTAAGAATTTCATTTGCTGTGTAGAAGCTTTTTACTTTGATGAAATAACCGAATCATGCCTGGCCTAATCGAGCTTGATTGCTGGATTCAATCACTTCTACTTAATCAAGCTTAAATTACAAACTGCATTTTTACAAGATCCTACTTGATCCATCTGAAGAATCAAGTTTGAGAAGCACTGGATGCATCTTGGGGAATTGTAGACCTTCCAGAGCAACTCTACTCCTGTTGCCTGCGTTGTATTTTTTTTTTTTTCCTCCAGTACTGGGGATTGAATCCAGGGCACTGCACATGCTAGGCAAGCCCTCTAACTCTGAGCTATGTTCCCAGCCCCTTGCCAGCATTATAATCAGTTTATCTAAATGATTTTAAATTTGCCATTCTGTTTTCATCCTAAGGATGTGGAATTATTCTTGTTCTTTTTAAATGATAAAAAATTGGGCACACGTATGATGTGTAGCATAATGTTTTGACATATGTGTACATTGCGAAATAACTATATCAGGCTCAATAAAATCACTTTATATAGAAATTTTTGTTGTTGTGAAAACACTTAAAAATCTATTCTTTTAGCAATTTTCACGTACCTAATATATTGTTAATAACTATATTCACCATGTTGAACATCAGACCTCTTGAATTTATTCCTCCTAACTGAAAATATGCTTCTTTTGACAAACATTCTCAGCCCTTGACAGCCTTCAAGGTTCTCTGAGTTTAACTTTTTTTTAAGATTCCACATATAAGTGAGGTCATGTGACATATGTCTTTCTGTATCTTGTTTAATTCACTGAACACAATGTCCTTCAGTCTTTCCATGCTGTTCTAAATATCAGAATTTCCTCTTTCAAAGGTTGAATAGTATTCTACTATGTAGATACACCACATTTTCCTTATGCATTCATCTGTTGATGGACACATAAATTGATTTCATACCTTGGTTACTGAAAACAATACTGCAATGAACATGGAAGCGCAGATATCTCTTTGACACGTTGATCTCATTTTCTTTGGATATATATCCAGTAATGAGATTGCTGGGTGATGTTAGTTCTATTTTTAACTTTTTGAGGAACCACCACACTGTTTATCATAAATGAGTTACTGATTTACATTCCATCAGTAGTGTACTAGGGTTCCCTTTTCTCTGCATTTGGCCAACATTTATCTTTACTCCTTTTGGTAATAGCTATTCTAACTTCTTTTTTTTTTTTTTTACCTACTTTTATTTTGGATTAGCTTCTTCATATCAGAAAACATCAGACCTTTAACTTTTTGGAGCTGGCTTATTTCACTTAGTATGGTAGTCTCCAATTCCATCCAGTGACTGGCAAATGCCATAAAGTCATTGTCTATGGCTTGTGTATATACACCACATTTTCCTCATCCATCCATCTGTTGAGGGGCACCCAGATTGACTCCATAGCATAGCTACTGTGAATTGTGCTGCTATAAACACTGATGTGGCTGGGTCACTACAGTGTGCTGACTTTAAATCTTTTGGATATATATGGAGGAATGCAATAACTCGATCAAAAGGTGGTTCCATTCCTAGTTTTCTGAGGACTCTCCACACTTTTTTTCCAAGTGGTTACACCAATTTGCAGTCCTACCAGCAATGCATCCCCACCTCCTCACCAATATTTGTTAATTGTATTCTTCATAATTGCCATTCTTACAGGAGATGAAATCTCAGTGTAGTTTTAGTTTGCAGTTTCCTAATTACTAGCAATGTTTAAACATTTTTTTTTCACCACTCATATTTTTTTCATCTGAGAAGTGTCTGTTTAGTTCCTTTGCAGAGAAATGGTATTTATTAACCAAGTCATCAAACTTAGAGCTTGAATTAAGGAAACTCCAGGAAGGGCCTTAGCAAGATAAAATTGCAGTTGCACTCTATCCTCTAACTTCTTTTCTTTTGTGTATGTTCAGTGTAAAGACATAAGGGCCTTCTGAGAGGGCAAACTGTTTTCCTAAAAAGCCTCAAAACATCTGAATTTTAGCCTCTTAAACCTAAGGCTTGTTAACACCATGACTTATAAAACATGTTCAGACTTGGATTCATAAACATGTGAATGGAGGCCATGTTAGTTTATATGTTGATCCTTCTATTAAGATGTGAGGTCATTTTTTTTTCTTTTTTGTTCTTCCAAACTATACATGCTCTGAAAATCTTTTGGGTTTATGAGAAAACAGGTCAGTCTCTTCATCTTCCATGTTTGCTTCCATGAAGATGCCTCTGGCCTTTTCTCATTCATCTCAACACAGATCTGTTTCTCCCATATCACCACCATGACTAATGCAGAGCCAAGATGGCTCCATTTTTCTGTTTATTTTTTGCTTCACAGACTTACTTCTAAACTCCTGGGCTGTGTGGGAAGAGGAAATACAAGGCTCAGGGTTCTGCCTCTCTCTGGAAGATGTTGAGTAGGTCACTCTCCCTGGGATGCAGTTTATGGTTCTATAAAATTAATGACTTGCAGCACCTGTTAAGATCCCCTTTGGTTCTAAGCCATAATAATGCCACAGATAAGATCATAGGATTTCTTTATGTTTGGCATTTTAAAAATGCCAGAACGCTGCACAGATTTTACCAGATGTTGAATGAAAACAGAAACAAAGAGGAAACAACCATACAAGGAAAAAGAGACACTGGTATCCAACCCAGAGACTCAGAGAGCACACAGGAATGGAGAACTACACACCCCACAACCAGGGCATTCTGCATTTCTTAATCAGTGAATGCCAAACTGATATTTGAACTGTGCCAACAGTTCCATTTAGAGCTACTGAGAAAAAGAATAAAATGTGTGATAATATCAACACTGATCAAAACAAAAAAAATCCATTTCATTGTAGAGAAAGTCACAGCATTTTATTTGAGTTAGTCTATTTCATTTATTCATCTGCCACATTGTTCTGAGCACAATTATTGTCATTATTAGTGTCATTTGGAGACAGCTATGCTTTTAAAAAAATCTGGGTTGGATCTCCATGATGCTTAATTCCTGGTCAAATTTTTTTCTTTACTCAAAAGTAACCCTACTCCAAGAGGAAGATCAGGAAAGACTGAGATATATTTGCAAAAAATTTATGTCCGCTAAAAACAATTCATAGCTCATGATCTCTCATGGGGGCTTTCTTTTTGGGGAGAGTTGTTTCTTATAAATGTTTGCTAATACAACAACCTGCCCAAGGAATCACAAAGGGAAATGAGAAATAGCTTCCAGAGAACAAGCAGATGCTCTCCTCAGAAGGAGCCCTAATGTCTCCTAAGTGTGATGGTGCCATTCTGCCAAGGTAAAGGGACAGAGATAGGGGACCGACCTCTCTCCCCAAAGGCCAGTAGAAATAAAGTACATTCAGGTTAATCAGGGAGGTAGTAATCAGCTGGAAAACCCAGAGGTTAGCATCTCTAGAGAGGAATGTGGGTGTGACTGAGTAAGCTAGGGCTGGATGAAGAAAGTTGACAGACAGCAGGAGAGTGGGGAAAAATCCATATTTCCCCAGAGAACCACCTGATGCACAGGTGGGAACAGGTGCCCCAGGGAAAAGGACAGCTGCCTGAGTTGTGGCCCTGAATTGAWGGGGCAATCTAGCAGTGGCCATCACACTCTGCCTACCACAGAGCACAGTGTCCCTGGGGCCACGTGCAAGGAAGGATCACTGCTGGCTGGCAGCATCAGGGAGACCCTGTCCTGGTCCTCTGCTCTGGGTTCTCGGCAGGTCCTTTGGGCCTTTACACAATTGCTTAGTTGAGGAGATAAGATCTTGCCTCACAGGTGTCTAACAAATGTATTATGGAAGTGTCATTTCATTTTGGTTCAGAAAGGTGAGAACAAATTTAGAAGAGATAATTTACTCAGAAACAGAGGCACAGGCCCACCAGCAAGCAAATCTAGTACTCCTTTCAGCCCTGAAGACAGAGAGGGACCAGCACAGCCAAGGGCCTCAGAGGGGGAGGCTGCAAGTCTGCTGCCATTCAAGTTTTCTGTAGAACTTGGAAAACTTTTTTCTTATTTCTTTCTTAGATAACAACCAGTCAACTCACGCTCAACCCGAGCATATGGAAGAAAAATGAACATTGAGAGGGTCTTAAACACCTTTGTAGGACAGACAGTTTTAGAATGTAGAAAGATCATCAAGTAAACAGAGCACCCCCCAAAAGAGAGTCTGAATGCGAAAGCGGAGAGGAAGTTTTGGCTTTCTCCTTTAACTGTGTTTTTGGCGCTTTGGCCTGTAAGCAATCAAGATGGAGAGAGATGCTATCCCAAAGAGGAAAGTCTGCAAGAACCAGAGTAGTTGAGCCCGACTGTCTGTGATTCCTTTATACCTGAAAAAGAAAGAACAAAATTCAGAAACCAGAATTGTCATTTTATGGGGGTTACTGACTTCTCTATTTTTTTCATTTAGCACTTCCATCTACTTTCAGGTTTATTTTGCCGTTTTTCTCTGGAGGGGAAAGATGGGTTCATTTACTTTTCATCTCTCTTGTTTTCTGATAAATGCATCTTAGGTGGTACACCTCCCTGGGAACCAGTCTGCCTGCTCTCTGGGTATAGTATTGTACAACTGTTTCTCATGTGATTCTGATCAGTGGATAGGTAATCAGCATTAGCAGGGCATCAGAGCAAGTCTCTTGAAGACAGACCAGAAGAGAATCCCAGCTTTCCACCTACTAGCTGTGACATGGAAAATCACTCAGTTTTCTCATTTGAAAAATAGGAATAGTAGTTTCTAACTCACCAAATTTTGACGTGATTGGTAAGATAATATACCCAAAGGGCTTAGGAAAGAGCTTGGTGCATAGTAATAATAATCACCTGCTCACAGAGTCTTTCAAATTAAACTGCTTAAAACAAAACTCCAATTAATAAATAAGAAAACTGATCTAATTGAAGGAAATTTTAGTCTCATCTGTAATATAAATCTTATTTGGATGACTTTTTATTTAAAACAAACATCACATATAAAAGCATATAGTTTTCAACACTAACAGACTTAAAAGGACCATAAAGAATCTTAGTAAATTCAGAAGAAGCATTTGATAAATTTTATCATCTATTCTTAATAAAAGTTCTCAGCAAACTTAGAAATACAATGGAGCTTCCTAAATTTAATAGAGGTATACAGAACTCTAGAAGAAACAATTCCTGTAACATGATACACAGAGAGGTTTTTTGTTTGTTTGTTTTGTACTGGGGATTGAACTGAGGGCCACTGAGCCACATTCCCAGCCCTATTTTATATTTTATTTAGAGACAGGGTCTCACTGAGCTGCTTAGCGCCTTGCCATTGCTGAGGCTGGCTTTGAACTCGTGATCCTCCTATCTCAGCCTCCCAAGCCACTGTCATTTCAGGCTTGTGCTACTGCACCTGGCAGAAGGTTTTCTTTTAAGATCAGGAACCATGCATAATGTCTACTACCACCACTTTCAGTTGACACTGTAAATACAGCCAGCACACAAAGGGAAGAACCAACCAAAGGTACATAAAATTGAAAAGAAGTGGTGCAACTATCTAGACACAATTGTATATGTAGAGACTATTAGAATTAATAAATGGACTAAATAAATAAATGGACTTAGCAAGGTTGTTAGATATCAGGGTGATATATAAAAATTGATGATATCCACACAGACTACCATCAAACAATTAGAAAAGGAAGAAAAGTCATTTATAATATCATCTGAAAGTAGAAACAGCTGGCCATAGTCAATAAATGAATAAACAAAGATGTAAAATACCTCCTAAAATTACAGAACTTTATTGATATATTATAGGAGATTTTAATAGATGGATACGGATCATTTCATGTTTAGAAGATGCAGGAATGGAAATGTCAGTTCTCTTCAAATTAATTCACATGGTGAATACAATAACGATCTCAACAGGTTTAGATTTTTGCTTTTGCAGCATATGACAAGGCATAAGAATGTGTAAAAGTCCAGGAGCAGCCTCCTTCTTGAATAAGAAGGCAAGAGGACGTGCTTTATCAGCTGTCAATGATCATAAAGCCACTACTACTGACAGAGCCATGTTGTCCCAAGAATGAACATACAGACCAATGGAGCAAAACAGGAAGCCTAGAAACAGCCATACAGAAATATACATATGATATAAGACAGGTACATCAATGGAGATTGAATTCAATCACAAATGGCCCTGGGAGGACTGAGCATCCATATGGAAAAAGGTGACGTCAGAAACATCTTTCCCACTCCCAAATCAGTTCCAGGTACATTAAAGGCATAAATGTGAGAGGCAAAATTGTAAAACTCTTTTAGAAGACACTGTTAAAGAATACTTTCATCATTTCAATACAAAGAAAAAAAATAATAAATTTGACTACATTGATGAACTTCTATTTTTCAAAAGATCTACCAGAAGAAAAAGACCCAGAGAAAGAATATTTGCAAAACATCTAAGTGGCAAAGTAGTTAAATAAAGGGGGAAAAGAAAAAAGTTCCTATAGATGGATAAGAAAAGGGCAATTACCCAATTACAAAAGTGTTAGTGTGGGTGGTGTAGGCCAAATGTACCAAAGACATATTTATTGCAATACAGTTTATAATGGCAAAACAATTTAGAGACTTAAAAAGTTGATCAGAAGGGAACTTTCTTCAATACATTAAGGCACATTCACATAATAGAACACTATGCACTAATATTAATGGATGGAGTAAAATTCACATGAATAGACACAGAAAAACAGGGATATGTAACTATGGAAAACTGTTAATAGAAGAAGTTCTATGTATGTGTAAAATTATTTATAAATGCATAAATTGTAATGATAAATATTAAACTTTTAATAATGACTATTTTGGGGGATTTTAGGAGACCTTTAAATTTTCATTTCATTTAATCTTTTTTTTTGCAGTACTAGTGATTGAACTAGGGCTGTACCAGCCCTTTTAATTTTTAATTTTGAGACAGGGTCTTATTAAGTTGCTGAGGCTGGCTTCGAACTTAGATCTTTTTGCCTAACCTTCGCAGTCACTGGGACTACCGGAGTGCACTACTGCACCTGACATTACCAAGAAATTGATTTATTTATTTTGATTGCTGAAGATTGAATCCAGGGCCATGCACATGCTAGATTAAAAACTATACCCCTGAGCCACATCCCTAGCTTTACCATGAAATTGTTAAAAACATAGAAAAGGAGCTTAATATTATGATTATGGTTGACATAAAGACAAACATCGTCCAATCCTATCTCTGGTTAAGAGGAATTTACAAAAAATGTATTGAATTTATACCAAGGTGCCAGATGCTCAGTAAATTTTAATTTTCTGCCTCTCAAAATTATCTAGAATCAAGGATATTGTCAGCTGGGTGCAGTGCCACAGGCCTATAATCTCAGCAACTCCAAAGGCTGAGGCAAGAGGATCTCAAGTTCAAAGTCAGCTTCAGCAACTTAGTAGGACCCTAAAGTGCCCTGGGTTCAGTACCCACACTGTTTTGTGCATACTACTTATTCAATTAAAAAGTTCACATGCATGAAAAAAGGAATCCACCAAAATGTTATATGTAGCTATTTCTGGGTAGTAGAATTTGGGAGGCTGCAATTGTACTACAGGTTTTCACTTATTTATTTATTCTTTCATTTATCTTATAATTCAAAAGGAATATTTATTCTGATTTACATTCCAACAGATTAGGCAACGATTTCAAGAACCAACTTCTCCATGTCTAACCTCCCTCTGCTCTTCAAAAGACTGATAAAAGAATGTTAAAAACTGAGTCTTTAGGTTTTCATTAGAGGTTCCAAATGCCATTACAAAATAAGTTTTTTTAAAATACACATATCTAGTTTCCATACCCAGAGATTCTGATATGGTATGTGTTGCTTCACACATAGGAATGTTCTTTCTTAAAGTTATACAGATAATTCTGGGCCACAATGCAAATGTAAAGCCCCCAGACTAGACCCTATTCAGCAGATACCAGTATAGGTTAATACCACATGAGAAAGATCTCTTTAAAAATTCTCTTTAACCTGTATTAGAAAAAGGTTCTCTGCATATTTGACTTTGCATAAGCATATACAGAAATGCTGATTCAAAGGATAAGATGGTTATAATAATGCCATCTATACTCTGGCAGTCTAAGTTCAAGGACTGGGCCAAACAACTCCAAGGTAAGATTTCACTGAGAAGCTGAAGAGGCCATTGGAAAGAGGTACCTGTATGCTTTGACATTTTCTGTGTCAAGTCCAGAGAATGGCTTCAAGAGAACCAGTTGGAGAGATTGACATGAGCCCTTGAGATTTGAAGAAAGGATTAGTAGCTGACTCAAAAGTATTAAGACTGTTTTAGTCTGCTGGGTGAAAGAGCAAAGAAACCAGCTGTACTGGGAACTGTACACAATTGCAGGTTATCASCTGGAAGGATAAGGAAATCAGCCAGCCAGATTTTTTTAGAAGGGTACTAGACCTGGTGGGTTTTGAAGGAACCCTGCCTGAAAGGCCCAAATGAAGCATAGATGTGATCTCAATAAAAGGGTAAAAGTCTTTCTCAAAACAGGTCCAGAGGTAAAAGTGCAAAGTGGCATGCTGGAGGAGGCACCAGGAAAAACCATCAAGGGAAATGCAAAGGGAGATCCACAATGATAAGCAATTTCCCCCCAATTCACCAAAGGCCCTCTAGAGAAAAAGAGTCTACACTGAATTTGCAACATAGATAGCACCCAAATAACTGATCAAGAGACTGGGCCTGTTTCCCTAACCATTCCTACCATTCCAAGGAAGCCACAGCAGGCTCCTGAGCCGTAGCTGGATAGGAGCTGACATTTTGAATTAGAAGAAGCTTACAGTTTTAACAAACAGACTAGATGAGAGTGGACAATTACAGATAGTGACTAAAAAACCCACAGATCTGTCTGAGTTTCATCCAGGGCTACAGTGGGGGTGCGGGGGAGACAGAAAAATTCATGGGGTAAATTTACTTGGAGAGGGGTGAAAAGAACATAGTTGTTTTCTGCTCTTTTGGTAGAAAGCCCAGTGTGTTTAATAACAAGAGGATAGAATACCATAATCTATACTTAGGAGTTTCTTGCATGGTATGCACCCACTCAATGTTAATTATTTTTATTATTAAAATATAGTGGTAATACAGTGTCCGACTTTGCACTTTTAGAAGTAATACAACAATAATAGAAGTAATAATTAATCTGGGTCATACAAAGATATTAATTTCAAATAAATTAAGCATTAGGATAATCATCTTATTCTCTGTATCACAATTTCTGTATTTGCTTATGCAAAGCACAAACGTAGAGAGAATTTTTTTTCTAGTACTTTCACACCATATTAACCTACACTGGAATCTGATGAATCGGGCATTGTTTAGGGGCTTTTAACTTGTATTGTGCTCCAGAATTATCTGTGGAACTTTAAGAAAGATCATATGCCTATGTCTGAAGCAAGACCTACCAGATCAGAATCTCTGGGTCTGGAAACCAGACTTGTATATTTCATAAAAGCTCCTCAGGTGACTCAGTTGTGACACTAGGACTGTGAACCATTGGCCTACATCAATAACTTAGCTCTTTTTTCAAATTAGAAGGAAGCCTAACCTTTTGTTCTAGTTGGGGCTACACAGTTTTGAAAACATAACAAAAGTCATCTCAATTAGATAACTAAATAAATGATTCATTAACAAACAAACTGAATTTATTCATCAAACATTTACTGAGTACTCCATGTCAGGTTCAGTACTAGGTATGGGGATTCAGATCTAACCTGAGAGTGTTCTCATCCTACAAGTATATAAATTATTGAAATGTGGCTACTCTCATCTTCCATTAGATACCATGAGAAAGGTGACAAAGACCTATTGCAAAGACTTACTTGCACAATACCATGGCATATAAGGACTCTCCCACGTGAATCAGCCAGGCAAGCCAATACCTGAAACAGGGAAAACAAAAACATTTTGACTAGTTTAAGGTGATAGCTACCAACTGATGAAATCTAACAAGAAATCTTAAAAAGAAAGGTGTCTTAATGTGAACTAGCAACACTGTTAGATATCTAACAGCAATTGCAGGCTTTTCAGGTCTCCAGTGAGACCAGTGCTGTAATGTCCACAAGTGGTTTCTGCAGTTCTCCTTACCCATTATGCAGGAGGGTGTGATGGTGGTTCACCAAATACTGAGTAAAGTAGCCCAGAGGTCCAAGGCTCTGATAAGGGATACTCTGAGGCCAGAGGACAACACACTGAAAGAGAAGCAGAAGTACAAAGTATCTTTTAGATCATTTAAAAGATCAGCAATTATTTATTTTTGAGAGCAGCCATGAAATAATACTGATTCTACAAAACAACTCAGACTGTAAAAACTCTGAACAGCATCATTTGGACCTCCATTTTTTTTTTTTTTGTGGTGGTGGGGATTGAACCCAGAGGCTTGTGCATGCAAGGCAAGCACTCTATCAACCGAGCTATATCCCCAGCCCTTGGTACTTTACTTTTTTAAACATTTATTTATTTATATGTGGTTTTGAGGATGGAACCCAGGGCCTCACACACTGAAGGCAAGCACTCTACCAGAGTCACAACTCCCGCTCTGGTCCTCCATTTTTAAATTTTAATTTACAAAAGTGACTATACTATGATGTTTATGCAGAGGAAACTATGTGGTTATCAGACTCAGTGCCCAGGGTGGCCAACTCCTAATCTTATTAATGAATTTCAGCAAAACATTATTTTACAGAGGTCATTAACATTTTTTTAGTTTATGTTCCTTGACTAGCTTTTTACTGAAGAAACTACAGCTTGAGCCAAAGCCCCATTTAACGTAAAACTTCTGTCTCTTCCTTCACTTGTGTACTTTTAAAACTGGAAATGATCCACTGCACAAAGATGAAAAATAGGTAAGATTCACTTTGTGAAGTTATAATAGCAACTGCTTAAACACATGAGGTTTCTATAGTAAAATTATCAACTTTTCTTCAGCCTATGTTGTAATCTCTACCAGCTTAGTTTTGCTTAGTTTTTTGAGAATTGTCAACAGTGTCAAAGTTTATTGTCCTTTCATCTCTGTCAAGAGAAATACTATTTCTCCCAAGATGCTCTTTTCCATATAAAATTTAAACAAAGCATGAATTATCAGGGCAAACAAAAACAAATAAAAGGAAGTATACAGCTCCATGATAGCCCCATGTGAAGTCCTCAAAGCTTTCCCCCCTTTGGATTCCACCTAATCAGAGAGTCAAAATAGCACAACAGAAATGCACCTTTGAAAAGTTTCAATTCAATGCCTTCATTTTACATATGGGGAAATCAGGACAGTGGTGGTCACACTTGACACCAAACAACACTGTGGACATGAGGACTCCCCAATCTTCAGAATCCCTCCTGGGCAATAGTCAAATAGCTTTGCCTTCCTTCATATTTACATCAATTGAGCTCCCAGTGTATTTCCTAGCATTTTTCCCATTAAACAAACTCTCAGCCCTACCAAAGACGTGCTTCCTCTGTAGAGCTTTCTTGCTGCCACATCTATGCCCAAACAGTTAGTTATATCCTCTTTATTTCTTTTGAGCAATTTAATCCTGCCCATTGTTCAGCTTTATCCCCATTTTCCAAGCCATTCCAACTGCTTCAAACATTCTGCTTCGGAAGTCCTATCTTGAGCTGACAGGGCTATGGAAGTCTGTTAACTTGACTTCTTTACTCTTTGTGAGAGGCTCAAACTCGGTTAAGCCTGAATAACCAACTGTACAGGGAGCCAGAACACAAGGGCAGAAGCCCTCTAAAGCAGAAGATTTCCCAAGAGCCCAGGGAACTTCCGCTTACATCAGTAACGTAGGCAACCGTCAGGAGCGCGTGCGCAGAACCTCATTCCCACAGCAACCCTCGCCCAACGAAGGCCTGACCGGCCCAAACCGATCTACCGCCCGCCCCGGACTCACCGAGAAGTATCCCAGCGTCAGGGCTGTGACCAGCGAGGGCAAGGGTCTGGCTACACGGAAGTAGGAGGTAGCGTCCCTGCCGGCCTCCGACTTCCCCTCCACCATCTTGAAAGACCCAGGCATTGAGTTCCCAGGTGGGGAGCCCTGCTGGCGTTCACATAGGGAAACCCTGGCGAGCCGGTTTCTCAGAGCCTTGAGCACCCGCCCAAGGCCCTGCTGAGGACTAATTCTTCAGCATCTCCTCCCCAGGTCTCGGCCCTCCCCACCCCATCCAAACGCGCTGGAGCCAGGACTGCGCCTGCGCGGACCCCCTGCAGGCGAGTCCTGAGACCTTGCAGCACTACCTCTGCTCCCTGGGTGGGTGGCCCTTGCCCTTACCGTGTAGTAGCCAAAGGAGAGGGTAATGACTGTGAACCAGAACAGACTGCCCCTCCGGAAGTAGGCTGCATCACCTGCTACGGTCGCCATCGCTGCAGCATCTCCAGGGGAATGAGCGGCGACCCAGTTCCGCGCGGGGGTGGGAGCTGGGTCGGACCTGGGCTGGGCGAGGGAGAGGCGTGCGCCACCGCGTGGGGGTGAAGACAGAAATCAGTCTCTCTAGTGCATTCCCTCCTCCTCTCTCTCTTTTTGGCACCTGGGATTGAACCCTGGGACGCTCAACCTCTTGGATCTTCTGAATAAGTATTTTCTCAGCTTTCCTTTTACTTCTTATCCCCCAGATTCAAGGTTGCCTGTGTTCTCTGTGCTTTCTGTACATTTGAGATTCAATTTTCATCTCCTTTTTCATGACTCTAAAATGCTCTTTCTAATCTTGACGTCTCCCCAGATACTGCTAGTCGCTTTCACCAAATAACCTGCACACATTAAAAACAGAGTCTACGCTCACTATTCACAATCAGTTCCGACTACAGCTCCCCTATTTATGTAAATAGCACTCTCCTTCTACGCTGTACCCCCCATACCTAGTTAACTGTAGAGAATCCTCTTGTTGGGGTAACATGACATCTCATTCTTTTGGATTAAACCATGGTTTGTTTAATCCCCACTCTCTCTGGGTCATTCCTTTCTGATTTTTTTCTCCTTCAACAACCACATGCACTCCATTTATCAAACCTACAAATGACAGGGTCATCTTCAGGTGTAGTTCTGATTAAGGTTTTCATTTTGCTTTTCTGGAACTTTTCTAATGCTTATTTCTTGTTTGAAAACATTTTTCTTCAGATATTAAATCTGAAGCAAGGGAGACATTGGAGAAATAATTCACTTTAGAAATAATTCAACAAAATGGCTTGGGTTAATGGACTAGAGAGCTAAATTTTAGTTTTATAACCTCTGAAAACCAGGAATTGGTGGGAAGAGTGAGTGCATCTCACATTCGAAGGATCTTATTGCCTATCATGCACACATCAGCAATCCAGATACCATATAAGATTATTACTTAGATGCCAATAGTTTTTGTCATGTTCAGAAAGGCTTCCTCGCTTCTATCCAATTTGACTTTTACACGGGACAGGGAACTTGAATTGTGTAACCTCAAGACATCCTGCGCTGTTGTCCCCTCTGGGCAGTTGTCCCCTCTGGTTTAGCAGAGGACTTTCTTACCCCTAGACACTTCTCCTTTCAGGATGGTTTGATGACCTAAACATGGAAAACAAAAATTGTTTCTTTTTCCCATAAGATTGGCCTACAAGGTATGAAGACACACTATAAAGGACTGTAGTAATAAAAACTTTTGGTATTTGACATGCAAAACCAACAAATAGATCAATAGGAAATAATACCACTAATAGAACTCATATATCCAAGCACTTATTTTATGATGAAGGTAATACTTCAAATTGAGGAGGAAAAATGGGCAATTAGCTAAATTATTGTGGGACAATTAGCTAACTATTTGGGTCTCACTAATTTGCTAGGGCTGACCTCGAACTTGTGATCCTTCTGCCTCAGCTCTCCGAGTTGCAGGGATTATAGGCACAACCCACCATGTCTGACCTAGTTATCTTTGAGAGTAAAAATGTTTTAAACTTCGCTCCCATCCCCAAACACAAATTCTCAGTGCAGTATCACAGGGTACAGAGAAAAATAGTACCCTTGGTGTTCTGATGAGATGGCTAGAGAGTAGAATAGCCATGTGCCATGATGTAGCAAACCCCTTCTTCCACGATTATTCAGGATCATAATGGGGGGAGCATTTAAATCAATTTTTAAAAATAAAAACCAAACATAATGTGTCCAGACAATCAGGAGCAGTATTTTATTTCATTTTTTTGGCTTGAAGAAACAAATGTGAAATTGAGTGAAGGAAGATGAGGATGGAAAAGCAGGAAGGGTCCTGATCATGAATGCCACTGGGTAGCGGCCTGTTATGATCCTACAGCCCAGGCAAGTTAGGGAAGGTTTTTTGTTTGATTGTTTTGCATCCGGGAATTGAAAATGTCTGTTGTACATGGGATGAAGGTGAAGTTGGAAGCAGGGAAAAAGAAAGATTAACAAAGCTCTATATGATGGGAGTGAACAGATTTCATCACTCCCTCAAATATGGAAGAAATATTTCTGCAGGCCCATTTAGTGCAGGGGTAATGCTTCATCCCAGAGATACAACAGTGAAGAAGACAAATGCAGCCTGGGGCTCTCAGGTTGGGTACAATGTAGGTCAGCTGACAGGAAAATCAGTAATAGGGATTAACTAGAGACAAGTGTCTATGTTGCATTGATCCTGTATTCAGGGATTGTGACCAGGAATGTCCTCAGGACATTGGATTAAGTAAAGAACAAAGGAGGCAGGGATAATCAGTAAGGTGTTGAGAGTTTGTGGAGTGAGGGGAGGAACCAGAGGATTATTTTTTTGACTAAAAATTTTCAAATTTCACCTAGAATTCCAGGGGCTTGGGAGGCTGCAGCAGGATTGCTAGCTCTAGGCCAGTCACAGCAGCTTAGTGAGACCCTGCCTCACCAAAAAAAAAAAAAAAAAAAAAAAAGGGGGAATGTAGCTTAGTGGCAGAGTGCCCTTGGGTTCAAGCCCAAGTACTACATAAGTAAATAAGAAAAAAACTCTTCAAATAATGATGATTAATGATGTTGAAAATTAAACTTTGTGCATGATTTTGGCCTAAAGAATACTCGTTTACATATATCCTTGAAAGAAAATTAGAGGTGGAACAAAGTAAGACTAATAAATGTTAGCAATTTTTCTTAGCATTATTACAGTTGAGTGAACATAAGCTGTGATATGGGAGAATGAGGCAAGCAGCTAAAATTTTGGTGGAGGAAATACAAACTTGTGAATGGGCAGTTGATATCAAATCATCTCCATAAAACTCATGTCCTAGAAGCCAATTTGCTGAGTCATCAGTTTGCCAGATTCACCCAGTTTATGGGATGTGGTTTTGAGACTTCAACAGGAATGTTAAATATTCTTATTGACCATGTTCACTTTTTGTCATGGACAAAAGAACTGTTACTTTTTTTTTTTTTTTTAATTGAATATCGAACCCAAGGGCAATTTACCACGGAACCACATCCCCAGCCCATTTTTTTTTTTTTTTAATTTTGAGACAGGATCTTGCTTAGTTGCTGAGGGTCTCTCTAAGTTCCAGACTGGCCTTGAACTTTGAAGTCCTCCTGCTTAAGCCTCTGGAGTAGTTGTAATTCCAGGTGTGTACCACGGTGCCATGCAGGGATTATGTATTTTTGAAAGTTCACCTGAATGTTGATGTTTCTGAGCCTGTGCTGGGCTGTTCACAGCCCCATCATCACATAGCTCCATCCACAGGACCTGGTGCTCGCTGGGCTCTTTCAGTCATGGGTGTCTGTAGCAAGGATGAAGGACTCAGACCACATGCTCTGAAGCTAAGCTTCATATAAAGAATGTGAACTAGGAAAACAAACAAGAGATTGGCCAAGTTTGATGACTTAGGAAAATTACCCATGAGATTGGGCCATTTGGAGCTGATTCCTTGGTGTAAATCATGGAGTGAGCTCTGAGGAGATCCTGACTGGAGGGGAGGAAAGAATGAGAACAAGGGAGTGTGGTGGGGTGCAGTGGGGTGGGGGGTGGGGATGTGTGTCCAGGTGGTTTTTGGAAGCAGGTTGATGGAGGAGGGGACGAAAAATCACTTCCTGGTATGAATTCAGGCTACTGAGAAAAGAAGGAAATAAAGCTGATGGGAATGTTGAATTATTGGGGAAAAAGTAAAAGCCAGAGAAATCAATCTAAGGCCAACCTTTTAATTTGAATGTTAGAAGAACTCACCAATATAAAATTCTGGTATAATATTGGACAACATGTTTCCACACCAATGCACCAACAAATTAAAAATAGATAATGATTTTATAGACAATAAAAAAGAAAAAAAAACCTCTTATCTTTGACCTTTAAGAATACCTTATACAAACCATCTTAATTGTAGTCCAGCTCAGTACAGAGACACTATAGTTAATGGAATGCTGGGAATAAAATACTTCCTGTCCCTTTGCTCCTGAGGAGAGAACCAGGGGTCACTAACACTGAATGACATCCTAAGACTTTGATTTTTAATTTTTATTCTGAGACAGGGTCTGGCCATATTGCCCAGGAGTACTTTGGATGCTCTGCCTCAGCCACCTGAATTGCTGAGGTTACAGGTTTGGGCCACTGCAGCCACTGTTTTCATTTTTTCCCCTCTTTTGTGATTATAATGGACATGGTCACACCATAATAAAATCAGAACTGTCTGAAGGCTGGTTTGGTTATCTGTGATCATTAAAAATGCCTGACCCTATGGAAGTGTAAAAAATATAAAATGTAAATACAAAATGTAAATTTTCCTTTTTAAGGTATTTTGAAGGAAAAAGAAAAAAAAAGGTAGGACCCTTCTGTATTGCAATTCACATTATGGTTTTGGTTGAATGGTGGCAGAGCACATTACATCTGCTGGTTTGCTGACCAAACTGTGCGAGTGGGCTTCTCTACAGGGAAGTGACCACCTTTAGATTAAAACAGCAAGTGAAGGATGACCAGGTCATGCGACTTTTAAGATTTTTTAAAAACTTTTCTTTTTTTCTCTTTTTGTTTTTCTGGTTTTGGTGCTGGGGACCTGACTCAGTGGTGCTTTACCACTGAGCTACATCCCAGCTCCTTTTCATTTTCTGATTTTGAGACATAGTCTCACCATACTGCTGAGTCTTGCTAACATGTGAGGCTCCAAATTGTGATCCTCCTGCCTCGGCCTTCCATGTCTCTGGGATTCCAGGCCTGTACCACCATGCCTGGCTTATTTTTCCTTTCCTTGCTGTCTTGGCATCCTCATTGGTATCAATGTTGCCATATCATTTTCGATGCCCTTTGCCATAGCTACCCCAGCAGCCTCCTTGCATTTCCACCCCCTTCCTCACCATCACCTTCTACCCTTGTTTATCTCCCTCACTGTCTGCTTGGCCTTCTGAAACCATCATTCTCTTTAGCATTCCCTTTAGCAGGGGCTATTCTAGTCTGGCTCTCCACAATTTCCCTTTTCTCATGAAGTCCTTGGTGGGGATCTCAGAGTGGAATACATGGTCGCTTATCACATGTTGGATAAATTGTGATCCCATGCAGAGGGTTCCAAAATAAAGTATGAGACCTGGACTTTGGAGCTAGACCTGCCAGAGTCATGGGGCAAAGAAGGTTGTGGCTAGGAGAGGGTAGGATCCTGGAACAATTCAAATGGCTTCTGGAGCAGCTATTGGCTCAATTCAATTTTAGTTTGCTCTATTTTCTCAGTTCCAAAGTCCAACAATTCTGGCTCCCAAAATATTCCCCCATGTACTCCAAAGCACACAAATGACTGTCTCCAATGACAGGTTGTCCTAAGCAGACAGCATAGGACCCATCTGCTGCCACCCCCTGAAAGGTCCTCCATGAATTTAACTGCCCATAAATTTATTCCTTGTGCTTTTTCTTCATTTTTGGTTACAGAGACATTATATATCACCTGGAATCAAGTTAGAAAACTGGATTCCTTCAGC